TAAGGATTTCAATTCTAGATAAAGCATTTGTAGTTGAAATGTGGGATTTAACCACCTTTTTTACTATTGATGAAAACATCTAGTAATTGATTTGCACTATTTTAAAAATGAATTATCTTTTGAACTTGAAGTTCATATTGATTTGTCATTGAATCAAAATGAGATAACTTTAGGTTATTCCAAGTAATTTATTATTGTGCTTAGGAACTAGCTTTTCTTTTTCTAATGACAAGAAAATATTCTCATCAAAATAACAATTTTCAAAACATGCCTTAAAAACATTATTAGTCAAATGTTCAATGAATCTAATAATAGATGGAGAATCAAAACCAATATAATTCTTATTTAACGTTATGAACTTTTAGTTTTTTGTAGGGGAGCTACAAACACATATACCATACAACCAAAGATTCATAGATGAAATATATTTGGTGGTATACCAAAAACAAGTTACAAATAAGGATATTTATGGTAAGAACTTGGTCTAATTTTAACCAACGGTGCAATATGTGATATAGCATGTCCCCAAATAGATGTAGACAATTTTAATTTTATAAGTAATAGTCTTAACAATTATTTAAAGGTGTTTTAAAAATGATTATGCTAAACTATTTTGAGTATGTACATAAACAATAAGATGTTCAACATCAATTCCAATAAAAGTGCAAAAATTATCAAATGCTTGAGAAGTGAGAAGAAAAATCACCAATATTGTTTAATTAAATTTTCTTGATTGGATAATCAGGAAATTACACCTGTGGTCTAATCATTTATGCTATTAATCTAATAAATGCAATATTTCAACTAGAAAGTAAACAAACATGTGACCATATACTTGATGCATCAATCAATGCCATAATATATCTAAAAAGTTTGCATGGTGAATGAATAGGTTCATATAAGCAGACTTTCAAGGAATTCATCTTTCCAAAATCACTAGTTGGAATCTTTTCTAAGCATAACACGAGTAAGGAAATATATGTGTGTATGCACGCGCGCGTCCTTGAGTTCTTTTAAGCAAAGATGATGATTCTATAACAACATTTGATGAGATAGTTTGGTAATTAATTTACCTTGAGAACATGCAACACATGTATTTTCACTTGGGAAAAGAATCTTTAAGTTTTTTTTTAGGGTGTCCAAATAAATGTCCAATAATCCTTCTCATTGTTATTGATCCCAAGTGTCCAAGTCGATCATGCCAAAACATAAATGTTTTTAAATTGGAACACTATTAGTGTATCATAACATTTATTTCAATAGATTTCATAATCGTATAATAAAATTTAAAAAAAAAAGCAAACAGTTTTTCAAGGACAAGCTTCTGGACTAAAATACGTGAAATAGTATAAAGATATTATTTTCTATCTTCATCTCTTATTTCAATATGATAACCATTCATGTGTATATCTTTAAAACCGAGTAATTTTTTTCTAGACTCAGGTGAATATAATGCATCTTTGATGTCCAGTTTTGTGTTATTTTGTAACAAAATATTAGCTCTTTCAAAGCCTTTAATCATGTTTATTAGACCTGATATTATAGTGACATCATTTTTTGTTAATGTTAAATATTCAAAGTATTTCTTTTCCTTGAGAACTGTGTGCGTTGTTGCATTGTCTACCAAACATAAATTTCCATCGTGAAAATTATGCTTCTATTCAAAATATAATTAAAGTTTATTATTTAACTGAAATAAAATTAACACTGTTTATTAAAAATACAATAAAATAAATATCCTTATACAAATAAAGAATATTAATCATCCTCAAGGATTCCACCATTAAGCATGTTATATGTTTTATTTGGGTTTTCAAAGAAATAAAAAACATCAAGATAAACATTAACATCAAGACAAACATTATGATCTTCAAAATCATCTTTATGAATAAAATTAGTCTTAACTATATTTTATTTCAAAGAGGCTTGATATAAATCTGTAAGATGTTTTAGCATGTGACAAGTATGAAATCAATGACCATGTATACCACACCCATGACACTTATCTTTAGGTTGATGCAAATTCTTTCCCTTTTCTTGTTTGGGTTCATTATGTCTCCACTTTTGGTAAATAGTGTGTAATATCCCACATCGGCGAGTGAGGACTTAGAGGAGGGCCTATATGAGCATGCTCACCTTGACTAGTAAGACACGTTTTGGGGTTATGGGTGGTTGCCAAGAACAAATCCGTGAGGTCCATGGCCCAAAGCAAACAATATCTTACTAGTAGGGTGGGGTGTTATATTGGTATCAGAGCCCAGCTCACTACTGTCTGGTAGTGTTGACGGGGTCGTCGAGCTCCTTAAAGGGGATAAATTCTAATATCGCACATCGGCGAGTGAGGACTTGGGGGAAGGCATTATATGAGCAAGCTCACCTTGACTAATAAGACGTGTTTTAGGGTGATGCGTGATTGTCAAGAAGAAATTCATGAGGTCCATGGCCAAAGCAGACAATATCTTACTAGTGGGGTGAGGTGTTACATGGTAGGTTGCCTTTTAACATATTATCTCTTCTCTATTTCTATTTATTTTTTCCATATCTATACCATTGGTTCTTTCTTATCTTTTGGACAAAGGTTCTATTCACTTCAAGGAATGGTCTAGAACTTGTGGGATGAGATTTATGATTTTTCATCAAAAACTCATTATTTTATTTAGCCACAAGAATACATGAAATTAGTTCTTAATACCTCTTGAAATTATGTTCTTTATATTGTCATTGCAGAATAATATTTGAGGAATGAAAAGTAGAGAATATTTTCTCTAAAATTTGGTTTTCTATAATATTTTCGCCTCAAAATTTTTGTTGTGAGATAATTTTAAAAAGAGCAGAATAACCAATTTAAAATCTTGTAATCTTAAGCGCAACCGACTATAACAAGCTTGAGGAAGTATGTTAAACTTTTAATGGTCATATATTTTCTTTAGATTTTGCTACAAAATAAGAGGATTTTTTATTGTGAGATATTCAACTTTTAATCATTTATGGAGATGGTGCCTAATGAAAATCATTGCTTTTGCTTTTATGTGATCTTGCAAAGATATGCTATTTTCTTTTTTGATGGTCTCTATAAGATTCATAGCTTCCAGATGAATCTTAGTGCCAAGAATCCATAACAAATAATCATTCCTAGAGATATCAAGAGCGGTAAATTCAAGTTTCATCAAATTAGATGTTATTTATATAAAAAAGGAAATAACTTTTCAAATAAAATCATGAATATAAAAAGAAAAAAAATCAATCTTTTAAGACTAATATTTATTTAGTTTTTTAAAAATACTAGTTCTTAAAGAACTATACTTAATTTATTTAATTCTTCAGGGATATACAATATTAGTTCTATAGAAACTTTAAATCTTGATGAATAAAAAAAAAAAGTATGCCAAAATAATTTACAGAACCAAATATATTTTATAAAGTATGAACAATGATGAAAAGAAAAAAATATATGGAAATTGATACAAGCCACGTAAAATAAGATTTTATGCACGCCAAGATTTCAATTAAGAACATATATGTTCATAATAAAACTTAAAAGAGAAATTCATATATTTTATTATATATTTTTTCAATATATAGAATACAAGACAAATAATCTATTTATAAAAAAAAAATAGAAAAATTAAAGGATACTAAAAACCTAAGTATCACGGAAAACTAAGAAACTAAACCCAAGAGTCATAAAGTTCAAGAGATTCTAATGATCATTCAATACATATAATTATAGGTTTTATAACAATTTCCAAGAAATTTCTTTCCAACCCTTTCCTTTTCATTCAAATTCATAATGCAAGAAATAGATTAAAAAAATGGAGCATTTGATATCATTTCTATTTTTTATTTTTGTTTTTAAGTTGCTTTTTCAAAAATTGAAAACTTGTTTGGTTGGATAGTTATTTTTTATATTGTAAAATACACATAGTCTTAATTGAATATTCATGCTCATGTTATTTGAAGTTTAAGAGTTTGTTACCCATTCCCCATTTAATTCAAAAATACACCAATTTTAATTTTAGACGCCCTGAATTTAATCTTTACTAATTTGAAGTATTTTTTAACCTAATACGAGGTGCTCTTGATCTAACATCATCCTCTTCCAAACTTGATCCAACCTCTGGACATTGTGAACTTGGCTCACTCTCATACCTAAGATGCTCCATGCTCAAACTTGAATAGCCTCATCATTGATCATGATATAAATAATGTTTGTTTTTACAATCCAACTTGTCTTTTGAGAAATTTTATTTTTTTTGTTTAAAATTATATATTTTTAATATTTTTAGATTGTTTTGATATGCTGCTATTAAAAATAATTTTTTTAAAAAATAATTTTAATATATTTTTAAATAAAAAATACTTTAAAATACAACATTTATCATAACGTGAAACATACTGTGTGTTGTAGCCCGATATTTTTAAGTAAAAAATACTTTAAAATACAACATTTACCATAATTTGAAACACACACTTAGTTGTAGCCCGACCCTCCTCTTTTTTTTTTTTTTTTTTTTTTTTGACATGAAATAGTCCCAGCCTACCCTTTCAACAGCTTAAACTTGCCCTTTATGCTTTTTAGGAATCAATACCAAAGTTTCTCATTCTTGACTTCAAGTGCTACAAACTTGAACTTGACTCTATCCTTGGAGTTCCATACTTATCCTTTGAGTTCCATACTTGATATATAGATCCAAATCCATCTCAAACCTTGAGTTCTTGAGCAACTCCCGGGAATCTTGAACCTAATCAATCCAATATTCTACTGTCTCGGACTCAAACGTAACTCAATCGCAGCTATCTCGGTTCAAAATGCTATGCTTTAATTCAATCCTTATTATCACTAACCCTAACTTGACCCGATCTACAAGCACCTTTAGAGTTGGTACTAGCTCGATTCCAAATCCATTCTCGACCAGAGACTCGATCCTAGCTTAATCCTCCAACAGTATGAACTTGGTTCCAATTAGGTTTATGAGAAATTATTAGGTATCCATGCGGTGGTCCGATTCCAAAAGCACAAAAGAGAGATCCAACATGATAATCACAATGGATCCTACTATCATGGGCGTGAGAAACCGGTGCTTGGAAAATACCTAAACATCTCTACAAACTTATTTAGAAATTAGAATTGGCGCGCGCTTGGGATTCCAAAGTCAATAGCGAAAAAACAAAGCTGCTAGGTATAACGTCTCAATCGCGCTTCGTGGCAGACAAATATACAAATCATCAATACATCAGATCAGATCATCATAATTTTTAAAATAATCAATCTATCAATCTTACTACAGAGAGACCCTAATCCCAAACTTTCCTGCAGCTATATCCTTCTCTCCCTCTCCGATGCCAAACCTCCCCCCCCTCTCTCGATCGCCTCCGTTAATGTTACAATTATATGGACAGCTCCGGCGTCGGCGATTCTCCGAAATTACCGCCGGATAAGGAGAGAGATGCGGAGTCGCCATGGCCGCCGGTCGTGGTGGAGGCGGAGTGTTTCTCCAATGTCCGGCTCACAGACGCTCCCATACTTTTGTTTGTTCATTTCCACAAGGCACTGCGGGTGGAGATAGCTGACCTCCGCCGTCTGGCAGTCACGGCCTCCGAGGCTGAGAGTGAGGCTCGTCGACCCGAGCTGGTAGTTGAGCTCCGTCGAAGATTCGATTTTCTCAAACTTGCGTATAAGTATCACGCAGCTACCGAAGATGAGGTGTGTGTGCATATATAAATAACCGACCACAAGCTTATCTATTGTGATTTTTTTTTGTTGTTGTGGTTGCTGAGAAAATTGAAGAAGAGAAATAAATGAAAAAGGTTTTTTTTTTTTTTGTAGTTATGCAAAGTAAAATTTAGCACTAGCATTTGTCAGAATTAGGCTTGATCGAGATAGAATTTATTATCTGTTCCCTAGATTTCTAAGCAAACAAGCAGAAAATGCAATTGAATTTTGGTGATATTTCTAAATCCGATGAGCAATTGGTTATTTCAGGGGGGGTGGGGAATTGTAATGTTTACTTGGCAAAATTCAGGTAAGCAGCCTCTCTCATTTCTGAATAATTATTTAATTACTTAATCAAAGAATATGAGCTAACAAATACATGAAGTTGACTTCCATAGTCACCACAGTTTATTTGTGGAGAAGTTTCCTTGAGTCAAAGCTTTTAGGAATGCTAATAAGTCGGGCTTCATCCCTTCATAGTTGGGTTTGTTAAGATAGATGGTCAACATATGTAAATACTCCACAGATTGTATAACTGATAAGGGAAAGATACGTTAATCCTCATATTAAACATATTTATATTATGTACCCAATGAACAAGAGACCGCTAGTTTTAATTTGCTTGATTGATGCACGTTAGTAACTATATTTACTTGCGACATGATTTAAAAGCAGGGGAGTGAGATTTTGATCTCTTAAAATTCAAAACGCCATGTACTTTGACTTTCATGCTCTTAAGTTTGTGCATGTATATGATTTAGCAATTATGAGTTGTTTTCATGTGGCAGGTTATCTTTCTTGCATTAGATACCTGCATTAGAAATGTTGCCCATACATATTCGCTTGAGCATGAAAGCATCAATGACCTCTTTGGAACTATTTTTCATTGGTTGGACCGATTGGAGGAAAATAAAAGTGGTTTGAAGCCCTTTGAGGAACTTGTAGTTTGCATCGGCACCATGCAGTCCTCCATTTGTCAGCATATGCTGAAAGAAGAAGAGCAGGTAACCATTTTTGTTCCTGATACTGTTAGTCACATGAATTACTGTGTTTCACCATGAACAATGTTTTTTTTTTTTTGTTTTTCTGGTGCACTCTCCAGGCAACGTGCATAATTTTTCTTCTTCACTTTGTTATCAATTGCTTTCACTGGTACTGCACTAACATGTTTTGTTTTTTGCTTTTGAACTGAAACATGGTTCTAAAATTAAAAAAAAACTTCTGATTGCTATACCATTTGGGTACATTTCTGTATATGAACGGTTTGCATGGAAAAGGATAGGCCTCTTTTGGATGTCAAAGAGCAAATACTTGAAATTACTATTGTTGCATTTCTGACATTTTTGGCTTAGTCAATAATCACTCATGAAGTTTTCAGAATTTTCTTTTTGTCTAATATACGTGTATTCTAAATTTGAATATCCTTTGCGCGTGGACCAAAAAACTTCTTGAACACCATGGTGCGCCATCTCGATCATTCAAATTAGCAGCTAAATCTCCTATTATATTCAATAAAAATTTGAATTTCTATGGTGAAAAATAGAAATGAATGAGAGGCCAACTTTGGGCACGAAGTTTGTTTTTGTTGGCATCCTAAAGACAGATGAAGAAGACATGCAAGAATTGCAAAAGAAAGGGGCAGAAAAATGATGCAGCTTCCTATGCAGTTCTCTGCTCTTGGTTTTGCTACTACAACAATTGGTCTACTGCCTTCAACATTATACTAAACTAATTCATAAATATGCCTAACGTCAGATGCAATACCTAGTAACCACCTTAATATGTGCTTCAATGTACCACTAATGGACGAACATACCAACTAAACCTACCTGTTACCAACAACAAATTAGAGCAAGCATTTCCTTTTCTGCAACTGTAGATTATTCCCATCCTTTTGGAATTTATTTGGAAACATAAAAAATAATTTTGCAATAATTTATCACATAAAGTAATAGTCAGTGTTGTGATGCTAGACTCTCTAGGTAAAACTGAGGGTCATCCCAGGCTCCAACTGTACATTTTCATTTAAGAGAGGAAGATGAAGGACTCAATTTAGAAAAAAACCTGGAAAAAGGATTGTACTACTTACTTCTTTCATGATGCAGCTTCCATTTAGTCTTCATTCCTCAACTGATGCCCAACAGGATGTTGCCTCCTGCTAGCTGTCATAATTGTTGAATTAAATCCATCCAGGAGTTCTTTGGAAGATCTTACAGTGAATTGCAAGACTAGGATGAGTTCAAAATAAACTAGCTATCTAACCAATTCTCTGAACAACATTCAATCTGATAATTTCATGCACTGCACATCATGTTTGATATGATTCAAGCTTTTGTTCTTTGTATTAGAAATATCATAACCATGGTGTATGTATATGCCTCGGGGTACAGGTTTTTCCTTTGCTTATGCAGCAGTTCTCTCCCAGTGAACAGGCTTCACTTGTGTGGCAGTTCATTTGCAGCGTCCCTGTGATTGTGCTGGAGGATTTGTTGCCATGGATGTACTCCTTTTTTTGTCCAGACAAACAAGTGGAGACTGTACAATGCATCAGACAAATGGTACCCAAGGAAGAATCATTGCAAGAGGTAGATCCTGAGCTAATTTCTCTTCCTAGTATAAATCAACTCTCTGACTGTGATTACCTCATGTGGTGTTGAAGGTGGTAATTTCTTGGCTCCTTAGAAATGATCAATCCTCTCCTGGGGCTTGCATCAGGATTAGACAAGGAAATCAGGATGTACCCAACAAGATGAAAAGCATAATGCAATTGCAATCCTCTAAGAGGCTTTTGGAACAAAATCAACAAAGAAGGAAACATTGTGTCCAAACTGACGTTGGAAAAAGTCTGGTTGATTATCTACATCTTTGGCATGTTGCCATCCAGAAAGAGTGGAAAGAAATTTTGGAAGAGCTGTATCAGATCAGAACCTTAATCAATGCTTTAACTGTAGATTCAATACTCTTCAGGCTGAAATTTCTCGCTGATGTGATTATCTTTTACAGGTAATTATCATAGCTAACTGAGAAATTTCTGTTTTACTAGACAACTCAATTTCATAAGGTTCCAGGTTGTATATTTTGATTTTTTCTTCTCTTTTTTTTTCCTTGCAAATATCTATCATCTTTTTGTTCATTTTATATATTTCTTACGGGATGTTTTCTTGTAAACAGCATTGCATTGAAGAGGTTCTTTTACCCTGTGTTAAAGCTTGAGAACAAACACATGTTCACTTCCTCCAATGAGCAGTCCTCCATTGAAAATCACATAGAAAGCCTACACAAGTTGCTGTATTGTCAAAAGGACTTACCATCGTGCAAGTTTGTAGAGAAGCTTTGCCAAGAAATGAAATCTTTGGCGATGGATCTTACCAAACAATTTATTTTTTATGAAACCGAGGTACTGTTTTGTTATCTTCTTTTCTTTGTCATGTTGCAGAAGTCTTGATCCAACACTAGTCAGTGATTATTCATTACATACCATTCACCACATTGTCAAATGACAGATTCCTGTCTTTATCAGGTATTTCCCTTTATTAGCAACAACTGCAGCCTTGAAACACAGCTGCAGATCTTGTACACGAGCCTTCATGTTATGCCACTGGGGTTACTGAAGTGTGCAATCACTTGGTTTGCAGTTCACTTGTCTAAAAATGAATCCAGGCCCATTCTTGATAGCATGAATTTGAGAGATATTTTAGCCAACAAATCTTTCACTTCCCTTTTACTTGAGTGGTTCCAAATAGGTTATTCAGGCAAAACCTCCATGGAAAATTTCTGCAAGGATTTGGAGAAAGTGTTCAGGAGCAGATATTCTATTCTACCTGAGCAAATCAAGGATGTTGTTTCCTTATCCTCACAGACTCAGACTTGTAAGGAATCTAAATCTAATAATATAGAACTGGTCTCTGCGAAGAAGGGTAAAAATTTTCTTTCTTATGCTTTATCTCCTGGTTCCCACAGAGGTAAGGCATGTGAAACATCTTACACTAGCGAAATAAATCTGCACATATTTTTTCCTGGGACATTATGGGCATCGGATGCTTTTCTTAAATTGCCTGGTGGAGAGAGTTCTTCAGCTCCAACTATCAATCAACCAATACCGATGGATTTCATTTTTTTCTTCCACAAGGCTCTCATGAAAGACTTGGAAAACCTTGTCTTTGGTTCAGTTAAACTAGCTGAAAACTTTGGATTCCTAACAGAGTTCCACCGACACTTCCATCTCCTGCAGTTTTGGTATCAATTCCATAGTGATGCAGAGGATGAAATTGTCTTTCCAGCCCTGGAAGCTAAGGAAGAAGTTCGAAACATTAGCCACTCCTACACCATTGACCACAAGCTTGAAGTTGAATACTTTAATGAAGTTAGCCACTTGTTAGATAAGATATCTGAACTGCGCATTTCCGCTTCTACTGATGATCCGGAAAAGCAGGATCTGATACTGGTGAAGCACAATCGATTATGTATGAAACTCCATTATACATGCAAGTCAATGCATAAACTACTGTCTGACCATGTTCATCGAGAAGAAGTTGAACTTTGGCCCATGTTTAGAGAATGCTTCTCCATCCAAGAGCAAGAAAAGATCATTGGACGCATGCTAGGGAACATTAAAGCCGAAACGTTACAAGATATGATACCCTGGCTTCTTGGTTCTTTAACACCTGAGGAACAATGTGAAATGATGTCTTTATGGCGTAATGTGACAAAAAATACAATGTTTGATGACTGGTTGCGAGAATGGTTGGAAGGGTATGACATAGCTCATGTGGCAACGGAGTTGAATACTTCATGTAATCCTGATCCTCTGGATATTATTGCAACATATCTGCCTACAGAAGCCCTTGACAAACAAGGTGATGATCTCTATGATACCATTGAGGTTTCACAAAGAGACTTTTATAGTGTTAATGTTGAGAAGCAAGAAGAAGAAAGTTTCGATGATAAAGTAAATATACATCATGGAGATCGAAACAGTGATGAATGTTCAGAATGTAAAAAACTACTTTGCGAGGGTGACAAGGAGAGATTTAATGAAGTTTCTAATCTTACAAATAAGACTGATAAACCAGGCCAGCCTTTTCAATTAACTCTGAAGTCCAAGTATCATGAGCGGCTATTGAAAATGAGTCAGGATGATATGGAGGCAGCAATAAGAAGAGTATCTCGTGAATCATCCTTGGATCATCAGAAGAAATCATTCATAATCCAGAACCTGATAATGAGGTGGGTTTAAGCTTGTCTTTATTGTTATAATTTTAGAATTTTACCATAGTGAAAAAATTTATGATACTTCATAAGCATAATGTGTTAGTCTACTAGAAAAATGGCCTACACGGCATCATTAGTGCCTCCATTCCATACTGAGGAAAGACTACCAATAAAACTTATGCTTTTGATTTCAACCAGAATCTTTACTTCCCTTGATTGAAAAAGATAATATTCTGTCTGATCAATTACTTTTAAGAGTTAGTGCACTAGGTTGGAGCAACAGACCAATTTATGCTATTTCGTACATCAAGAAACCGAAAAAAGATGATTTAAGCAAGAATTATTTAACCCCAGTCAAACATCAATAGTATATGGCTACTTTACAATTAATAAAAAAGAACTTGATTCAAACACTTAATGACACTTGAAGTTGTCCATGATTACAAACATATAACCACATCTGTTGATGTTTGCTAATTAGAGTCATCAATGTTGGCAGATACTGTTAAGCTCAGGCACTACATTCTTTTTCTTTCTTTCTGTGACCCCTCTGCCCCTATCTGCTAATGGAATATTAACAACAGCCTCCATATTGTTTCAGCCGTTGGATTGTTCATCAAAAGATATCTCATACAGAAGTAACCATCTCAAGTAATGGTGGGGAAGAAATTCCAGGTCAGCATCCATCTTATCGGGATTCTCCTGAACCAATCCTGGGTTGCAAACACTATAAAAGAAACTGTAAGCTTGTCATGCCTTGTTGTAACAAGATTTATACGTGCATACGTTGCCATGATGAGTTGGCTGATCATTCAACTGATAGGTATGACAAAACTTTGAATAACATTCTATTTGTGGCCCTTTGAATTTGATGGCCTTTGTTCCCTCAGTTCTTTACATGTTTATATTACTTATGCAGGAGAGCTATTAGAAAGATGATGTGCATGAAATGCTTGATTATACAGCCAATTGGAGGAACATGCTCATCTGTCTCCTGTAATAATTTATCGATGGGAAGATACTATTGCAGGATCTGCAAATTGCTTGATGATGAAAGGTGATGCATCCTTACAAACTTGAACTTTTCTCAAATTGACAATAATTTATCTTGTTGAATTGGTAATCTTCAAACAATGATAAGCTTTTTAATTTTTCTTTTTCCCCAATGTTATCACAATCTTCTCCCCCCCCCCCCCCCCCCCCCCCAATTTATCTGAGAAAACTTATTGCAGCCAGAAGGTAGATATGCAATATGTATGATAATCTAGAAGTCAGAAATCTTCCTTAAAATTAACTGAATCAGGCATTATCAACTCCAATTTTTGAAGAAACATGGTGAGCATATCAAGAATGAAAATCAGCAAATCTTGGTCAGAGACACAAGATTAAGGAAAGGAAGAGAACTTATTTTGACTGGTTGTTTGATAGTGGTCACTCTGGGGAAATCTTTGAGATTTTACAACCTCATTAGGTGCAAGAAACTCTGAATATACATGTTGCATTTGGATGTCATAGGTGAAGGAGGCTCTGAAGAAGATGAGGATAAGGAGAGCAAACAGTCCTGGCTGAATTCCTATAGAAGTTTGGAAAAGCTAAGTGAAAGTGGAACTGTGGGAGGGGTGTGGTTGATGAAAGCATTCAATAAGCTATTAAAAACGAGTAAGATACTTGATAATTTGAGGAACTCCCTTATCCCTTAGATAAAAAGAAATTGGATGAGCAAACTACAAAGTTGCACACAATATTGGGCACTAAACTTAATAGATACTGCATTTAGTTCTGCGAAACGGTGCTTAGTATGATTAACTGAGATGCCACAGGATCTGGAAAATAAATTAGGTTTAATGCCTGGGAGATTGTCTACAGAGGTTATTTTTCTCTTAAAAAGAATAAGAAATATAGGAAGAAGAGACTTTCCTATGGTCTTCATGATTTAGAGAATGTTTATGATAAGAGTGCCAAGGAAATATTTTGGCAGGTGTTGGAGAAATAAGGTACCCTGTCGAGTATATAACTTGAAAACAAAGTATATGCATTACAATTTTAGCAATGCATGGTTATGTGGTGGTTAATAACCAATATACAGTAAAGTCGATAGAGTCTGATCATTTTCAACTAGTCACTAAACAAGAGGAGAATAAAGATGAGGATATTACGGGTGCCGTAGTTGGATAGGCAGATTAAATGGAGAAATAAGATTAGAACCTTATGCATAGAAAATCCTAATAGGTTAAAAGTAAATTTAATAAACCTGTTAGTAGACATTGATGTAGAACAAGTAGATGGAATGGCAGAAGATATGAAACCTTGAATCTACTTAGCTGAGCAGAATCCACTAGGCTAAACCTTGAAAACCACAAAGGGTTCTTTGGCTCACAATAAATTAGGATTCCTGAAATCTAGAAGAGGAAAGAAATGCCAAACTCAACTTTTCATATATCAAACACTGTCCAACAAAGCTGATAAAGGCATAGCACAACCTTAATTCAGATATGCCAAACTTAAATTTTCACTCATCAAATGCTGTCACACAAAAGAATTGTAGTTCTATTTGGATTGGTCCCCATTCAGATATGCTCCATGTTTCTAAATGTAGCTGAGATGCAGATGTTAAAATGGATGTGCAGCAAGAAACAAATATATTCTGTCTGCTTTCTCAGTCGCTAGATTTCAGAGTCTACAAGAATTTCATTACAGTATATTATCATAATTCGGGACTTACATTGCAAGATAATCCCATCATAAATTATCATAACAAAATTATACCCTCCCCTTCAATGTTCAGATCTATCCAAATTTGATCTTCCACATAATCTCAAAACATATAGACATTCTTTCCTTGTTATTTAGGCAATCTGTGTCTCTTCTCTAAAAAGGAAGTTCAATGTGCTTTCAATATTTGTAATCTTTACTCCAACATTTTCTCTTTTATTGTTCATCCTCCTCCTTTTATGTTGACAATTATATATGGTAATAGTGCTCTCCTGCATCAGGTCTCTGTCTATATATTTTATTTGAGTTTTTTTTGTAAAGTCCAAACTGTCAAACTTTTAACATGGAATATGTTCAATAGGGAAATCTACCACTGCCCTTACTGTAACCTCTGCCGAGTGGGGAAGGGATTGGGCATCGATTACTTTCACTGCATGAATTGCAATGCCTGCATGGCAAGGTCTCTTTCCGTTCATGTGTGCAGAGAAAAATGTCTGGAGGACAACTGTCCAATTTGCCATGAATACATTTTCACATCAAGCACTCCTGTGAAAGCCCTTTATTGTGGTCATTTGATGCACTCAACATGTTTTCAGGTGCCTGGCTAAGCTAACCTGCCATTTTCTTCAAATAATGTATATTTATATAATTTTACTGGTGTTTCTTATGCTTCTGCTAGGAATATACTTGCACTCACTACACCTGCCCAATCTGTAGCAAGTCACTTGGAGACATGCAGGTCAGTTACCTTATGTTTTTCTGTCTTTTTCGTAGTCAGTTTCTTCTTCTTGTTTTTTCTCTCTCCTTATATTCCATTCTCTATTAAGCAGTTTGTATTTTCGATGGTTGAAGTATTGCCCAAGTACTAATATCATATTCTTATAACATATTCTTCATCATCATTTCCACTTTATTGTGTTTTCCCAGAAGTAATCAATGCACTCTGAAAGATGACTTGTTCAATGCTAAAACTGAAATTTACTGTGAATAAAATTTACTGATTTGGAAAAGAAGGAAACTGATTTGCTGAATTTAAAAGTTCATGATTATTGACAATAAGTTCTTCAAGCTAAAGCAGTTCTAACATATATTTGACCACTTTTGAGGATCAAGTGGTCAAAATTTAGTATGATCTGTCTTCTAGGGCTCATCTCACCTCTGAATTTCAGGATAGAACCAGGGCAGTGGTATAACCATGAAAAGCTCTTGTTTCTGTGGCTAAATCAGTACAACTCAGTAATTGCTGTGAAATTGTTCAAGTGATATCATTTTAAACTTTAAGGATCAGTGTATATAATTTCCAAGATGAATTAATTCCTATCAGCGAACAAATGAGCAGGCAAGACATTAAAGGTTCTCGTTTGTATTCAGTTCTGATTCAACTTTAATGTAAGAAACTATCTTCATTGTTGCTCCAGATATGTGTTTCTATGGAGAAACAACTCTCTGTGCACATAGTTGTGGCTCTCTCGACAGTCTTGGATTTCTCTGCATTCATTTTTGACAATTTTGTGGTCTTATGAAAGGTCATCTGCTTAACAGGCTTCTTTGTAAGCCATTGAATATTCAATTCACATGCTAGTTTTATTCAGCTGCTTTACTATTGTGGGACGTCTTGAATTTCATTCACTAAACTGTTCGAATATCTTTCAGGTGTACTTTCAGATGTTGGATGCATTACTGGCTGAAGAAAAGATTCCAGATGAATACTCTGGACAAACTCAGGTTTATAGATCTCCTTCCCTCATTATTCTTGCAAAATGTTATAAAATATATCCTTTGATGGATTGTGAAAGGGATTGCAGTTTATACTCTGTAATGACTGTGAGAAGAAAGGAGCTGCTCGTTTCCATTGGCTATATCGCAAATGCCCATACTGTGGCTCATACAACACCAGGCTTCTATGACTCTTGTTGATGCAAAGTGAGTGTCACCAATTTCTTTCCTCAAGATACCGCATGGAATGATGAGCTTGTGTATAATTGTTTCTGTCACTTGCATTAGATGAGAGTGATAATAATTTTGTTGCAGCTTCATAACTTGTTCTAAGGTAGTCTTTCTTTGATGAGATATGTAGTAATCCAAAATTCTTTGCTAAAAAGAATGGCCATTTTTTTCAAGACTGCTTTTATGAAGTTGCTTGGATTTTCTGTTTTCTCTTATTCTTCTAAATATAGCTCATACATACTACAATAATGAGAAGAAGAGTTGAAACTTCTTTTGACAAAATCGCATTTGATTTTTTTTCCGACACAATCGCATTCGATTTTTTTTTCCTGTTTGTTTTAGAAAAAAAAAAAAACTATGTTTATACACATACACAGCATATAATTTGACTAGATCCTTCTGTAGTTATGTACCCCTTCCTGACTAGAACGTCATATAGTGGAGCCATGTAGTTTAAATAAGCACAAATAGCTAAGCCACCTCCATTGTATTTTCTCATCCTGTTCCTAATCCCTGCTGGATGCTAACAATACCTCCATCGTTTGTCTAATGAAATGTCAATCAACGAAGTCTGCATTTACTTCTGTTCATCTTGAATCTGTTTCATGGAACTTTACACCAGAACACCTTCAAATAAAGCGACCACTATATTATCCATCTACCACATGCTGAAAATCTTGAACTAGCCCATTCGACCACACCCTTCTCAAAGATCTTGATAACTCGGCCATTGATTTAGAAATCGGTGGTCCGCTGCTGTAGAAATTGTGCCGCGTAATGTTTTCATATCCTGATTAGCAAATTAGTAATTCCTTAGTGCTTCGACAACCAATGGGTTTCGTATAAGAATATATTCATACGAGCAAAGAAATTTTGAAGTAATCTGGGTAGGGTTTGCCGTCATTGTTCATAATATATTGATTCACAAAAACCTGATCAACATATTCTCCCAAAGAAATTATGGATTTGATCACTGAAAACTAACGCGCTGAGGGATTATATAATTGACTAGAATAAAATCAAGTTATGCATGCTAGAACTTCATTCTAAACAGTGAAAAGAAAACAGAACCTCAAAATTGTGGAATGTACTCTATGGCATTAATTAGAAGGGGGGAAAAGTAATGTAATTGAAATAAAAAAGCTATCTCAGTTCTCTTATCTTGTTCCTAATCAATTGATACTGGTAAGACTAAAACGTGCAGCAGCACTCTTCAATTCATTCTCTGCAGCATGCTCCATAGATGGTGCGGTGTCCTTCAATGATTCTTCTGAGCTGCATGCATGCATGCATAAAATTTGCACCATAAATTAATCAGGTAACCAGTATGATATTAAACTAAGACATGTATGAAGATCGAATAGCTTTTAGCACAGTAACCATCTCTTCAAATCGCAACCCGTGGAAGGAAAGAAGAAGAAAAAAGAATGAAGAGAGATAACACACCTTGATTCGTAGGGTTCTTTAGTTTCAATATACGATTGCCTGTCATCAATAGAATCAAAAAATGGATGCATCTCATCATAATCTTGAACAATTTCTTGTTGGGTGGCTAGTGGCTGTGAAGCAGCTAGCTGAGACTGAATAATTGGCATGGAATTGATGTTATAGTTAGTAGCATAAGAATGTTGACCCCAAAGTGAGTTCCCAGCATTATCATTAGAATACAAGTAATTAGAGCTGTAACCAGTATTGCTACCAATAACAGAGTAGGAGTATTGTTGTGCCAAGCAAGGCTGAGGAGGCGCCATTCCTAATTCTAATTGGGATGGAACATCCTCAGTTAAAGCTGCAATCTGATGTTGATGCTGCTGCTGCTGCCTGTACATCTCAAGTTGCGCAAGGACAGCACGGAGCTCTTCTTCGACCTGCTGAATCTGGAAATGCAGTTTACAGATGATGCCCCAGCAGCCATGAACAGGAAACCTGTCGCGAATATTGGCCTGGTAAATGATGGAACGCATCGCTTCCTCGTGTTGGTGAGGATCAAGATTCTCAAGTATCTTGAGGATTTTGCGCACACCGAACAACTTATGAGTATTTTGGAACAACCTCGGTTGGTCAGGAGGGAAGTAAGGCGCTAAAGGACACTCAGAGGAGCACTTTCTCCTTTGATACTTGCACGAAGCACAAGCTTGGCTAGTGCCTCCCTTAAGAGTCATGATGTGGACATCAAAGAAGATGATAAGAACATGAATGGTTAATGAGAGAGAAGGTATACATTAAGGAAATTTATTAATAACAGTGGGGAAGAGGGAGAGGGAGAGGGAGAGAGACGTGTGATTGTTTTAGTAGTTGTTTAAACTGAAATGGTTAAAACGTAAAACATTTTGGTGCTGAACAAGTCTGATAGGAGCGGATTTGCTGGATGTGAAGAGACTGAGTAAAGGAGAAGATTAACGAAGATCGAAGAGAGCGATTATGGCGGGGGTTGGTTTTTATTTTCTCCTTTCTTAATTAATTTCAAGCATATATTATTATTATCATTATATACTATTATTGTTATCACAAGACGGGGAGGGACAACCGTAGCAATTCTAGCTTCCACCGCTCCTATCTTCCTGCCTCATCTTTCTATGACTATATATGGAATGCAATGGTCACCTCTGCCACTTGATTACGTGGCCTGTAATAGTTCTACATGCCTGCAGGTTTGGACTGTTTTACCAGGTGCGGGGAATCCTTCGGCCTGTCCAAAAGTCTTTCCCGTCTTTAAGGTTGTAATGGGGTGCCATGGACTTTTAAAGCTCTGCTATAGCAAGCCTTGCAATTGAGCCTCTAATAGCTAGCTTGCCTAACTAAATTTAAAATGGCCAGTTAACCTTACCTTAACAAAGGAACATTCTGAGGGGTGACCTTGATATATATATATATATATATCAAGGTCACCCCTCAGAATGTTCCTTTGTTAAGGTAAGGTTAACTGGCGTATATATATATATCAAGGGCACCCTTCAGAATGTTCCTTTGTTAAGGTAAGGTTAATTGGCCATTTTAAATCTAGTTTTTAATGTTCATTTAAATAAATTGAGCTTGAGCTCTAGCTCGAGTAGAGTTTGACTTAATTTTTTTATTTTTTTAAAATTTTTTAATTCAAATTCTCTGCCAGTCCCTTGAATTTTTCTCTATCGATAAGTATCCCAACTTGTTAAAATCTATATCCTAAACAAGGAGTAAATATCCTCTTGATTTAGAAGACACGATCACACAGATTTGGTACAGTTCTGAATCATTATAGCGATTCTTTCTGATTCTATCGCTGTAGAAGACGTTCAAATGCATTTGCTAAAAAAAGACCGAAAGTATTTGCGATTAAAGAGATTATACGATTAAGATAGTATCTGACCAAAAACTGGTTGGCTTCTTGCCTCTGCTTTCCACCGTCCGAAAGGGGCAAAATTGATTTGGCTCATGAAACTGGTTGGCTTCTTGCCTCTGCTTTCACCGTCCGAAAGGGGGATTACGCCCGTGTCTAGTCTAACGTTAATTCTTGTTGGCTATCGGCAGCGTAAATGATCAGGCGGTTCTTTTAAACCAGCATTAGCATTTTGCCCAGTATAATCTTCTGGGTTGGGATCCTTCTCGCGCAGGGCTTCCATACTAGGAATCCCGATTTTTATTGGATCTGCTCTTTTGTTAGCATGGAGACGAATTATCTCCTATTCATCCTCTTTCTTCTTAATAGAACCACCCCCCCACCCCCGAACCTTTCTTGAGACCACCAAGCCCTCAAGCACGCCATGGAAGCAGGCAGCTAGAGCGAGCAGCTTAGTATTTGACGACCAAGTCAGAGACTACTGGATACTAACAGTGCATTATCAGGCGGTATCCAGTTAAGGGGTGGCTAAGTGGCTTGAGGGATTGGTTTACTAAATCGACACACGGTACGGATTGCTACCTCCCGTTCATAGTTCTGATATAGATGATAGATCTTGATCTTAAAGATAGAGCCTTGAAGCGGTGACTTCTGCGACCTGCTCTCTCTGTATGCTCGAAAAAAAGAAACCTTTAGAAGGATTTGAGTTGCTAGTTTAGTACGACCAGCTATTTAAGCTGAACGAACAGTTTTCTTCATAAATTGTAGGCGTTTTATTATCCAGGAATTAATACACTAAGATAAAATATTCTCCTCGTAGAGAAGGCTAAAGATGTGGTTTCTGTTTCTATTTGAATCTGGTTTTCAAACAAATTTCTCGCTTTGCTGGTTCTGTAATGTCAATGGGTCATAAGATCAAGTCAACCGTGAAGTCCCAGTTAAAAAACAATCTTCAAATGGGTTTTGATATTGGTAACGACGACGTGAAAGACAAGCAAACCTTTTGGAATACGATCAAATGCCTATAATCCTCCTTCAACAAGAAGATCTAGCAACATGTCAAGTCTGTGCATATAAACATAGAACAGAGAAATGACGGCAAACAGTCTTTAGGGATTCTAGACAGTTGAATCTCCTCAAAAATCTCCCAGTGTCAAGAGTATTGCTACATTTTGTTCGGCCAGCCAATCTAGTCCAAAATTTAAACATGTCATTACAGGGATTAGAGAAAGGGGAATTCGGGGATTTTTGGTTCATTTCTCTGCCGAGTCCTGGTGATTTCTATTTGAGGGGATTGAAGAAGGAATTAATTGTAAAGAATATTGCAGGTTACGGAAACCTCGCGCTTGAGAGGCAAATCACGCACTGTTTTAAATGTGAATTGACTAGCTGAAACTAAAACGATTAACAGGTTAGATGACTCATGTCACATGCCACGTCATATTTTATCAACATGGTAGATTAATTTCAGTGTAAATATAACATGGGAAATATTCCTTCATTTGGAAAATATTCCTTCACTGGGAAAAATAAACAAACATGAGGGCATTATTTATACTAAAAATAAATATCTACATATCATCATAGTATAAGAACACTAATTATTTATTTTCATACAAGTTCATACAAGGAAGATAAGTTAAAATTAATTATAAATCATATAATTAATTAAAAAATTCAAGATAAACTAAAAACAAGAAAAACATAAATGCGATCTACCATGAAAAAAAAGTTTATATATTCGATCAAGATGAAGTTATTAGCTATGATGGAAAATTTCATTTAATCAATTAGAGTATCCAGGTCTATATTAAACTTCAACTAGGTTTATATTAAACATGAATTATCAATATATATAAAATGTTAAGATTATATAATAAATTAGAAATCATGTGATTATCAAAAAATAAGCTTTGTCTTAATTAGAATACATTTTGTTTTGGGATTGTAAATTTCTTACTTGATATGAATTGTCTTCATAGAATTAGGCTTAAGAGATTACTTTGGATTATAATAAACTTATAACAATATAAATATAAATAGGATCATATAATTATTGTAAATGATCATTAGCCTTGTATATATAATTGCATTCCATTTATCTTTCTTATTTTTATTTATTAACTTCATTATTTTTCAGTACCCTTTATTTCTTTCTTTTTTTCTATAGTTTTCATCTCTTCTTCTATATGTTTCTTTTATCATTTGGTGGTAAGTATTTCTACACTCTACTTGATTTTGCAAGGATGCTACTTACCTTTACTAAAGATTAAGTTTTTTTTTATTTAAAAAAGTTAATAAAAAAATATTTTTTCCTATAAAAAAGCATGAATTGGAAAAAGAAATTCTTGCTAAATCTTTCTCCTCCATAATTCAAATTATTTGATTTTTTTTAATACTTATTTTAATTTACATAGAATTCAATAAAAAAAAATTTTAATTTACATAGAATTCAATAAAAAAATTTTTTCCAAAAGAAACCCAACAATAAAAGGGAAAATAACCTAATAAAAAAAAATAAAAACAAATATATTGTGAGAAACTCAGTGAGATGTTTTGATTTTAAAAAAATCCATTAATTAATTCCCCCCATCTTTTCAATTTTTTCATGAGAACTAGTTTTTTCTCTCTCCTAATATCACATTAATGCAACATTGCAACTTTGTGATAAAATATTCATAACTATATAAAAGTACTAACTCTAAGTCAAAACATTTAATTTGAATAAAATACCCTTAAATTTTTATTATCTTGATAACCAACATAGCAATTTTAATTCTTCTTAGATATGAAGCTAATTATTAGTAGATGTGTTAATCTTTTCCTTTTTTACCGTACAAATTAGTAGTTGTATTAACATTTTTTTTTATATGAATATAATTATTAATAGTTGTATTTTATTTTCTATAATGAGTCACCGTTAATCAAAGTCTAATAATATTTTATTATTTTTTCTCATTGTACAATGTCTTGCAAATACTCTTCCTTTGTTTTTTGGCCCCTATAAGTAATCCCAAGCGCATGAGAAACCATGAAAGCTTAGACAAAAACCGAAAAGGAATCGGTTTCCCAATCCTATAATGATTTATCAAATTGCCATTATTATTCTTTTTATTAAAGCTCCTTGCTATTTATTTTATTGACTAATCCAGCTTTATTAGTTAAAGGAAAAAGACATTTAATTAATTAAATTAAAAAATTCATTAGATTTATATTTGTGCTTATATTCTTAATTTATCCTCCCCCTTGTAGCCAACATCCAAAACAAAAAAAATTATTTTAAAATTTAAAAATTATTAAATTGTATCTGTTATAAAATCTATAGTCATACATGTTAAATGCTTACTAAAATCTTTTAGACTTTATTACTCTTGAAATTATTATGTTGGTTTTCCATAACACTTAGTTTCCTGTGTTCTTTAATTTTTTTTTTCTATAAATAGATTATTCATCTTGTATTCTAAGGATTGAAAAATATATATAAGAAAATGTATGAATTTTTCTTTTAAGTTTTATTCTGAATATGCATGTTCTTACTTGTTCTTTATTTTTTTAACATGTTATCAGCACAATCACTCTACTTAATTTATATTGAAATCTTGACATGCATGAACTCTTATGTTACGTGGCTTTTATCAATTTCTTTTTTGTTTTCTTTTCATTATTGTTCATACTTTATGAAATATATTTGGTTCGTTAACTTATTCTGACAAATTATATTTTTTTTATTCATCAAAATTTAAAGTTCCTAAAAAACTAGAATTGTAAGTTCATGAAGAATTAAATAAATCAAATATAGTTTCTTAAAGAACTTGTATTTCTAAAGAATTAAATAAATAACAGTCCTAAAAGACTGATTTTTTTTTTT